TACACTTTCTCTAAACATTGCTGCAATTTACAGCTTGATTTTACAGCCATTTAGTGTGTGGGGTGATAAGCTTTGACGCCTGAAAGCATCTGCCCTTTAACCTTTCTCTTCTCTCCATATAGCACCTTGGGGTATTTTATTTTAGAGAAATGTCTTAGTTTTCTTTCACTTCCTAGAACTTTATTGAGGAATCAGCAACGAAGAAAATTTTCTTCTTCATGCTTCCCTTTATAACATATCGGTCAGTGGGTATAGCAGTCATCAAAATATCTGAGAAATTAAGATTGTACTCTTTCATGCCGAGTTCTATATATACCCCCTCTCCCATCCAGTTTTTGTTTTTCATCATTTTTTCTGTTTTTTTTTTAATAGTTTGAGTTGGTTATCTCCTCCTGAAGATAAGGAGTCTTTGAATAACTGGACTGGCAGCAAGTAATAGTAGTAACCCTTTCATTACACACTGCAGGGTAATTTTCCTTGCTTGCTGTTTTGAACTTCAGCATTTTAAACTTATGAAAACAAAAGCAGCTATGAAAACGAAAGGTGAAAAAGGCACATGACCTTTTCATGTTTTACAACTGCAGTTTTATGATGGTGGGAATTACAGGGCTCTGATGTATTTTTTTTTTCCTAAAAAAAGTCTACAATTTATGAAGTACTTTCTATGAGGTGGGAGTTAACCCCTTATGCATTTAGAAAGATGTTCAACAATAGTATTTCAGCAATATTTTATAAAACTGCCTGTCTGGTTTAGTAGGAAAGAATAAATCCAACTGGAATACAGAGCAATATAGATCATGTGTCTTTTATAGTTGACTTCGGTGCCACTTCATTTTCTTAGCGGAGTACTAACGTCGTTATAAAAGAGTGCGCCCAAAAGGATCACGCTTTTCATCTTGCTGCTTGTTTCTGGCGGAGCCTATCTGCCACTAGACATTTCTACTCAGGTGGACATATGGCTCGATAGACTGCCTACCAGACTGGGACATTACTGGTCATAAGATTTAGAAGCCTTCTAGACCAACCTCCCCCCACCCACCCCCCAGCCCATTTTACAGATGAGAAAACTGAAACCTGGAAATGGACATAATAATAATAGCATTTATGTGGTACCTGAAGGTTTGCAAAGCCCGTGACAAAGATCACCCCATTTGATCCTCAGGACAACCCTCAGAGATATGTGCTATTGCTACCCTTATTTTAGTCTAGTCAATAAACCTTTATTAATTGTCTAAGTTTCAGGCACTGTGCTAAGCCCTGGGAATACAACGAAGGGCAAAAGGCAGTTTCTTTTTTCCAACTGTCTAAGGGGGGGAGACAGCGTGCAAACAGCTATGTACAAACAAGACACATACAAGATAAATTGGAGGTAATCAACAAAGTGGAGGCACCAGCATTAAGGAGGGGGCTGAAAAGGCTTCTTGGGGAAGGAGGGATTGTAGCTGACATATGAGAGGAGCCAAGGAAGGGGAGAGGCGGGGACTAGGAGAGAGGGGTCAGCAACAGAAAATTAGGGATTTTCTATTTTTAATAGAAAAAGAGAAAGCCAGGAACTGGGAGATGAACTATCTTGTTGGAGGAACAGCAAGGAAGCTAGTGTCACTAGATCACAGAGATGCAAGGTATAGAAGACTGGAAGAGAGAGAGAGAGAGAGAGAGAGAGAGAGAGAGAGAGAGAGACAGAGACAGAGAGAGACAGAGACAGAGAGAGAGACAGAGAGAGAGGGAGAGAGAGAGAGAGAGAGAGAGAGAGAGAGAGAGAGAGAGGAGAGACAGAGAGAGACAGAGAGAGAGAGAGGGAGAGAGAGAGACAGAGAGAGACAGAGAGAGAGAGAGACAGAGAGAGAGAGAGAGAGGGAGAGAGAGACAGAGAGAAAGAGAGAGAGAAAGAAAGAGAGAGGGAGAGGGAGAGAGAGACAGAGAGAGAGAGAGAGGGAGGGAGGGAAAGAGAGAGAGAGAGACAGAGAGAGAGAGGGAGAGAGAGACAGAGAGAGAGGGAGAGAGAGAGAGAGACAGAGAGAGACAGAGACAGAGAGAGAGAGGGAGAGAGAGAGACAGAGAGAGACAGAGAGAGAGAGGGAGAGAGAGACAGAGAGAGAGAGAGAGAGGGAGAGAGAGAGAGAGAGAGAGAGAGAAAGAAAGAGAGAGGGAGAGGGGAGAGAGACAGAGAGAGAGAGAGAGGGAGGGAGGGAGAGAGAGAGAGTGAGTGTGTGTGTGTGTGTATGATGAAGGGCTCTGAATGCCAAATACAAGATTTTGCATTTGATCCTGGAGGTGTTCAGGAGCTACTGGAGTTATTTGAGTCGGGAGATGGCACAGTCAGACTTGCCCTTTAGGAAGGTCACTTTAAGAGCTGAATGGAGGACTGGCTGTTGTGGGGAAAGACTAGGGCAGAGAGACCAACTAGCCGGTTATTGCATCAGCCAATGTGTGAGGTGATGAAGGCCTGTTCCAGGGATGTGGCTTTGTCAGAGAAGAGAATGGTGCGTATATGAGAGATGTTAAGTAAAGTATCAACAGGACTGGACAACCGATTGAATATGGGAGGTGAGGGAGACAGATGAGGAAACTAAGCAAAGGTAAGTAGCTTACCCAGGGTCACACAACTAGTAAGTGTTTGAGGCAGTAATTTTAACTAGACTAGTTAAATGGCTCTACTGGAGTAATGGAATATTGGCGACTATGGGATAGCTATTTTAAAAAAGAGAAGTTGAAGATCTGAAATTTTAACAAAATAGCTTCAAACTCCTAAAACAAGTCAATCAATGCACACTATGTCTCACTTATAACTTCAGAAATTCCCTGAAATTTAAATCACCCAGATGATGGGGGTGGGGCCCAAGCCAAGATCTTCGCCCTTTTCCCCAAAGGGAATCTGACTCACAGGCCCCAGACCCTCATCTCCCTTTGAAAGCCTTAGCCTTACCTTTTAATCTTATTCAGATGCGCCCTAAAAGAATCTGGCTCCCTTTTGTCTATAGGCCCCAGAAAGGCCTTCTCTGGTCTCAAACTGTTCCTTACTGACTCTCCTTATCTCCTTTTGAAAGTCCTAGCCCCACCTTGATTTTGTGCAGATGGCTTTCAAACTTCTGCCTCCCTGTTCCCTCCATTAGCTATTCCCATTGTCTATTCAATCTCTCAGACCTCCCCAATTAGAATTCTTACCTAGACCCTTTACCCAACCCCCTTCTCTGGCCACCCAAAGTTACTTTAGTATTTAAGATCCGCCTTGGCCCTCATTCAGATGCTGAGAATCTCAGGCCCACAAGGCTGAGACGCTCTCATGCCCGCTCCTCCTTACAGGCGTCACCTGGTCAATTTGATTTATCACTAATAAACTTTTCCTCTGGCTGAAGAAGATTTGAGTTGAATTCATTCAGCAGGTACTGCGATCTTGGGGTCCCAGCACCCCAAAAGTCCTAGTCCTCTTCAAATACAGGAGAATCAATAAGCAAGGCAAATTTAGATTCTTCATAGACATGAACTTAAGAGTCCCAGGCCCTGAGTTTGAATCTTGACTTTGACCTATGTGTTCCTGGGAAAATTATTTAACCTTTTGGATTGTTTCCTTATGTGTAAAATGAGGGGGTTGGACTAAATAACAGCCAAAGTCCCTTTCAGCTCTGGATTTATGATCCTATTTATTAAGGCAGAGTGTTCCAAGTGGAGAGAAGGGCTAGCTCCCAGTCAGGAAGACCTGGGTTCACCATCTGTCTCTGACAAATACTATTTATGTGACTTGGGGTAAGTACTTAGTTTTCCAAGCAATTCTCCAAATTCCCCTTGTCAGCTGAGGGAGTTTCAACACTAGGAGTTTTACGCATATACCTTTTTTACTGGGTTTGAATCTATACCACACCACTCATAATTTCTGAAATATCAAATGGGTCATGTTTCTGACATGACATCTAAAGATTTTTGAAATTCACTTTATTGACTTCTTTGAATAATATGTAGGCTATCACACCCATACTGGATAAAAGTAGAAATTTCATAAAACCTACCTATCTCAAAGGCAGAGAAAAGGTTTTTTTTAATTTTATTTTTTGTTGTCCTTCTTCCTTCCTTCCTTTCTTTTTCTTTCTTTCATCTCTCTAGGGATTAACCAAAGATAAAAAACAATTAAAACAGTATTTTCCAACTCTGAAGTTCTGTGAACAACACTGAAACCTTTTCTTTGCTAGCAGAAAAATGGGGTCAGTAAAAAACTTTTAGCACTAGCATCACCATCATCATTATCAATTAATACCTAAACCTCAGTTTGTTTCAGGCTAAATTGTAGAAAGAACCTTAAAGACACCATCCAGGCGTTACCATTCCATTTGAACTAAAGCCAGATTCTCGGAGGAATAAGTGTTGAGTTCATGGCAAGAATGAGTGATCGATGAATTGCAAACAAATCAAGTCGTTGGTTTTTTTTTTCTCCTCAAAGAATCCCGTGATCCTGTTCCCCTCAGAAATTAATGAACCGCGACAAAGGCAGAAAATCAAAGGTACTCTCCTAATAGACCTTTCACGTAGCTCAAGTCGCTGCTTTTTTGCATGAGTGTGTGTACGCGGTATGTGTCGGGTCCAGGAACGTAGGCGAGCCCATGTCAATGTGCGCCAGTCCCAGCGATGTGGGTGCGGGGCGGGGGGCGCGGGGGAGGAGAAAGGGGGGAGTGGCGAATTGTGTCCACGTGTCATTGTTGTGGGCTTCACAACTCCATAAATGCGTTACGCATCCGGGCTTGTTATCACGGGGTTGTTCACGGACCTGTAGGAACACCGTGGGTGGGAGCACAGTAGCCAGCTGTGCCCAGCGGTGGAGGGGGGGGAAGGGAGAAGGAACTCGGGCGGGGGGACGAGGACTCCCGGGAGGAGAGGGGAGTGGGGGAGGGGCTCGTCGGGGGCCGGACTTGCCAGTGCGCAGGCGCAGTCGGAGGCAGGAAGGAGGGAAGGAGGCGGGAGCCGCCGCCGCAGAGCCCTGAGGGGGAGGGGTAGGGGTAGGGGGAGGGGGGGAAAAAACGGGAGGGAGCGAGTGAGCGGAGGAGCCGACGCGCCGGAGGCACCGGCTATGGCCGCGGCCGCCTGCTGATGGGCCGGGCTCGGGAGTGCGGGGTCAGAGGCACCCGCGGCAGCGGAGGATGGTGACCACCGGGCTCATGCCGCGGCCCAAGAGGGAACAGCCGAGGCCGGGCGAGGAGCCGCCTCTTTGAACCGAGCCTGGACCCGCCGCCGCCGCCGCCTCCTCAGACACTGACCGACCGAGACCCGGGGAGGGAGCCCGAGAGCCCCGCCGGGCGGCGTCGCCGCTGCCGCCCCCTCCCCCCGAGGCTGCGGCCCTGAGGTGACTGAAGCCCCGCCACCCGCCCATCCTGCTGCCCATCCCCCTTCCTCCCCTGCCTCCCCTCGGAAATCCCTGCTGTCTCTTCCCCCCCCTCGCCCGGGGCCCTCCTTCGCCCCCCTCCCCCCTCATCACTTTCTTTAGGATCTTCTCCCCTCCCCCCGTCTCGTCTCTCTCCCCTCCCTCCCAGTCTCCATCTCCCTCCTGCCCCCACGTCCCCGGCCCGGCTCGGGGTCCAGCTTCCTCCATCCCGCATCCCTTTCCAAACCGCCTCCAGCTCCGCACGGCTCTGCCTCCGGCCTCAGGCCTCCTCCGGCCATCAGCGGCCCTGACCCCCGCGCCGCCCCCTCCCATCTCCCTCTGAGGGTTGGGATTTGGGGAGGGGGAGAGGGTCAGGCGAGGGGGGCTTTCTGATGGGGACTTGGCCGCTTCGCAGCCCTCCTGGCACTCTCCCCTCCCGAGCTCCTTGCATCCGGCATGGGGGTATCTTTTTTCTAGTCCTTTTTTCTTTTAAAACCCACTCTTCGCTGCCCCCCCAACCCACTCCAACCGATCCTTACTCGATTCCCTTTCTGCTCCGTGCCTTTCCCACCAAGGGCCTCTCGCCTTCCCGTCAGGAAAGATACCCTTCTCCAGAGAGGGGAGGAGGACGATGGAGGTGGGGAGGACACAGCTGAGTTTTTTAGTCAGAGCCCCCCCCAAAACCCTTTACTGCAGCTGGACAAAGGAGAGTTTGGGGTGTGCGGTTGGGGAGGCTCTACGGTGGGCGATGGGAGGTGGGGTCCCAGTGCTTCCTCTCCTGGCCCGGGTTTACCGTGCGTAATCCCCCAGCCCCGAGGCGACTGCGCCGCCTCCTTTGCAGCTCTAGCTTTGCTAGGGGTTACTGGAGTTCAAACGCATCTGAGATCAGCAAGCCTAGAGGGAGGTGTGGGAAGAGGAAGGGGGCTTTGCAATGTTGTGGCATCAAAGATTAATGGTTGGTATAGTTTTGCAACTGGTTGTAAACAGGAAACTAGTTTGGTTTGAAAGGGAAGGAGGGGATTGTGTGTGCATCTCTCTGTTTTTATGATACCGTACGGAGTTTGGTGTCAAAAGTGAATCTTGACTCAAACCCAGAAGATGAGCTCTTGGCGCTACAGTCGTGACCCAGGCTGATGGCTCTATGGCAGACAGCAATATTTGTATTTCCTGTGTATCTCCTAGAGTTAAAAAAAAAATCCTACAGCTCAGAGAGAAGTAGAATCATTTTTAAAAATCATTTTGGAAGAGATTATGAAAAGCGATAGAATTTCTAGTAGCTGATGTGTTTCAGGTACTTCCTAAGTTAGCAAGCTCCTAGGAGTGAGGCAGACCAGCTATATTTAAAGCACGTGCAGAAGTTTATGCAAGATGTGAGCCTGTTCTGGCTTCTTTAGATTTGCCGCCAAGTTGACTTAACAGCCTTTGGTTAAAAAAAAAAAAGGAAAATTTTAAAAAAAGAAAAAAATTTTCCTCTGATTTGAATCCTTAGGCTTTAAAGTGTAAAATGTTTTGACAAATGAACAGAAGAATAAAAACTGCTTCTTAAGGGATTTACTTTATAGGTAGGTGGACTTCTTATGATTGGATGGGGAAAAGACATGAAGAGGAGATAATAGATGAAAACAATTGACTTTGTAACAACAATTCAGTTACTGTTACTACAAAGGTGTAGACTTGGAAAGACAAGTTCTTTATGACTATAATTTACAGTCATGTTATCTGTTGTCTCACTTGTGTTTTCTCCTTGCAAGTTTTTTTACATAGCAAAAAATGAGTATTGAAGTTATAACTTTTAATTAAACAGGTTAAAGATTTAATAAAACCTAAATTTTATTGAACAAAAAGATTTGACATTTCCAAATAAATATCTGGTCAAGAAAATACAGTCTGTTCCCAAGTCTCTCATCTCGTTTCTCAAATCAAACGAGATAATATTTGTAAAGTGCTTAGCATAGGGCTTGGCACATAATAGCTGCTTATATAAATACTTATTTCCCCTCACCTCCCCTTCCTTTGGAACTGTATGACATCATGATTTGTACCTGAGAAATGTTAGTTGTTGTTAGGTTGTGCTAAATTATTTGTGCTTTTGTGGAAGCAGTCGAAGTATTTGTAAGCAGTAATGACTGCCTCATTTACTAGAAGTATGTGAAACGCATTTAAAGTAGTTTAGGAATCCTATTCTTGTTTGTTGTATATTTTGAGATTTAAAAAAAATCTTGATTCTTTGGCTGTTTAATAATGTAAAATATCTCTATTTGGATCACAGAATTGTTTAATATTTCTTGCGGAAGATACACATTTTAGAAGAGTACATTCATAGGGTTTTGTTTTTCATTTTAAAGAGGAAATTCCAAGAGATCTAAAAAAAGTCTCCTTAAGTTTGATGGGGCAGGGATCTGTGCTTTTGACTTTGTTTTACTGGTCCCTATATTCTTTTTATTTTATTTTTTAAAATTTGCTTTGGTTTGTAGCCCTCTTGCTCATTTCAGAAATATTTTAATGTTTTGTTTTTAGAAAGTTTTAAGGTACTTCTCAGTGAGTTAAATTATACTCATTAGCATTTCTTGCACTCATTATAGATAAAAGATAACTTAGGTTTAAAGCCTATTTCAGAAAAAAAAAAGATATTGATAACATTTTACTCAGGAAGGAAAAATAGTACTCACTTATGATCTGGGAGATTTTGATTGGAGGACTTAGGTTCTCCAACCTTAGTGATCACTTAAATATAAAGTTGATTTTGGTTTGTTTCGAAAACCCCAGAATCATTTAAAACTTGTTTTTAGCTGTAGGCTTAGAATATATATAACTTGGTGATATGAATATACTATACAATATTTGATTAGGATAGCTTATCATTAACAAACATATACAGTTCAGTTCAACAATTCTTTAATTTTTTCCTGTTGTTCTCAAGCTTTTGTGCTAGGCCTTGGGGGTACAAGAACAAAAGTAAAGAGGAAACTCTGTCCTTATTCTACTGGAAGTAGCAACACAAATTGATAAGAAAATACAAGATGATTTGAGAAGAAAACACTAAGGATCAGGGGAGATCTGTAAGAGATTTACTTCTGAGGTAGCACCTAAGCAGAACCTTTCAAGAAAGCTTAAGATTGGGAGAGGCTGAGGGGAACTGAATTAGAGGGGTGGAGAATGCTAGGGTAAAAGCAGGAAAGCTAGAGATGGAATGCTAAGTTCAGGGAACAGTAAATAAACTAGTTTAGTTGGAACATTGAGTACCTAGAGAAGAATAATATGAAATAAGTCTACATAGGTAGCCAGATTTTAGAGGGCTTTAAATGTAAAAATAAAGAGCTAGATAAAGTATTTATTCATGAGGGTTAGTAGGGAAAGTACCCTAGATTTTTAAAAATAATATTCTTTAGGATTGATTTGTTCTTTAGTGTTTATGCCTAGCTATTTGAATGAAGAATATTATTAAAAGAAAAAAAGAATCAATTTTAAAAGCCTGCTATATAGGTAGGCAACAGATATCTAGCTTTTTTTAAGCACTTATATGCCAGACTCTGTACTAAGGGGTAAAGATTGAAGTACAAGTAAAAAAAGAAAGTACATGCCTTCCAGGAGCTTATATTTTAATGGGGGAAGAAAACATGCAAAAGGGAGCTAAAAGTGGGGGAAAGTAAGGCTGTAGACTGGGAAGAGGAGAGAGTCAAAAGTACAACCCTGTGGGGAATGAAGGTTGGCTGTCCTAGGCCCTTCCTCAAAATGGAGATCTCAGCAGTAACTCATCAGTGGGAGAAGGGAGAATTGGACTGCTGTGGTAGAGGGACGTTACAGGATGGAAGGCTACAGGATTGGATGTCTCAGGGTAAAGAAGCTCTAGACAGTTAGGAAAGCTCCAGTGTGAGAATGTAGCTTTGGCATAGGTCCAAGTCTGGAAAGTCAGAAGGGGAATGGTAATTATCCTTTCACCTAAACTAGTTGATTAACAACCCTGGACTTCAGTTTCCTCATTTTTATGATGATGAGGTTGAAATAGATGACCTCTGAGGTTTTTTGTAACTTTAGATCTTCATCCTACAATTATGTGACGTGTGGAAAATATGGATTTTTTGGACTACTAAAGTATAATCATGGCATCTTGTGGAAGCATATTCTAATTTTAGGCAAAGTACTTAAAAACAAACTACCTTTTGAAAGCTGAGTCGTCCCCCGTAGAAAGAGTAAATGCTATAATTTACAATTGTGCATGCCTCAAACAGCAAACCAAGTTGCACAGAATTTGGAGTCAGCATGGCTGGAACTTTGGTAGAATCAGTAAGCATTTGTGAAGTAAGTGGGAAAAGAAATTGGACATTAAAATTTGGTAGGGTTCTGAATAAATTATTTTTTATTTCTCTTTTTGTAGTACTTTGTGGGTAATTTTTTACTTGCCTTTGTGTGGATGTAGTTGCCTTTTTCCACACTCTTGTTCATGAAACTTTCAGACAACCCTCTCAGAGACCAGGGGACGTTTACTGTGTGATAGGTGTATTATAAAATGGTCATCCAGTGCTCTATCCAATATCATGCTTCATGTATTTATGACATTTACATCATCAGTGTACAATTAGTCTTATTTTCTCTTCTGGACATTGCTTTCTTGTTTTGTCAGTAATTTTGACAAAATCTGTAATTTTGAAGACTGATAGTTTGCTTGTTCTACATAATATAGGTAGTGATAGTAGTAATGATGATAATAATAAAAGGTCAACATTCTGAGTTGACCTTCTGTAGTAAGGGTAATCTTCTGTATGGTTGAGAGAGGGAAGACTTCATTATTTCATGAACATCAGATTCTTGATTTCTGAGTTTTTTCCTCGATAGATAATAATTGCAATGAAACAAAAAAATTTTTGTATTTAATTATGCTATGACATTAACTAATAACAATACCTTATATGATTAAAGTGTTAAAGCCAAAGTGAGCTAACTAAAATGAGTAGGTGATATGATAAAATGCTGAAAATAGACAAAGACCGGCTCCGTACAGGATTAAGAGCATAGGCTCTGAAGTCAGAAGAACCTGAGTTTAAATCCCACCTCGGCTCATTAACTACCTGAGTGATCTTGGGTAAGCCACTTGATCTCCTTGGGCCTCAAATTCCTCATCTGTAAAATAACGGAGTTGGACTGGATGGACTCCCAAGTGCCTTCTAACTCTAGTTCTGTGATTCTGTGATTCCCTTAGCAAATTGGAGATGACACTGAAATAAACATAGGCAGGCCATTGATAACCTTCAAGCAGCACTAATTGTCATCTATTTCTGATCCTTTAAAAAAAATTATAAGATATTCTAGAATATGGAAAAAACCTCAAATTTTCAATTTTAATACAAAAATATCTGGAAATAGCATTATATGTTTATGCTTCTATAAATAGTGATTTTCACTCTGACTTCATATGTTAATAAGAAAATCTATTGCACTCTGAAATTAAATCTCATGGTGCGTGCTTATTCAGTTTCCATTTTGGCTGGCTACTGGAGTAAGGACTTTTTTCTTCATCTGTTTTTAGGTATCATAGATAGCTTTGACATCTGCATATATGTAGAAATATCGTATAGCAGGTAAAGTCTACCACTAGCAATTTTGAGAAATCCAATTGAAGTCCTTATGGGTGCCAGAAAGATGAATTAAGGATTATTTAGGGACTGCTTTAGTTTTTATTTTCTTCTGGTTTGAATCACAACTATTTGACTTTGCTTCATTGCTATTAGCGTGTCATTTACACCTTATTGGGGCATGGGAAAGGAGGGCTGGTAATTCATTAAGGAACCTTCATATACTTTTAAAATAATTAGAACAGCAATATTTAGTATTGCATTATTGGTATGAATCTATAGTAATTAATAGTTCTGCATCCCTGGACACAGTATAATATAACCAGCAAAGAAAGTTTCATTAATTGTATACCAACTTTAGTTCTGTTTAAATTGAGTAAATTTTGAAAATTAGGCCATGTGTTGGAATTACTGACAAATATTTACCATAGCATTTGCAATCTGTTGCTCTATAATTTTCCTCAGAAATGTTTCCATTTGCTCTGTAAACTCTGGAGTTATTTCCAAAGCTACAAATGTGTTCAACATTCTCCCCCAAAATATCAAAGACGTACTACTAGAGTTGACAGGTCCTAACTTATCTTAGTTTTAAAAATTGCCTCTTTGTTTATATTAGCCATTTCTTCCTTTCTTCACCCTCCTTTCCCTTTCTCTAATTCCTTCAGTGAAGTTGCAGGAGGTTGGAACATTTGAAATATTTCTTCCATTTAAAGCTATATATTGTTTCTTTTAAAAACAGTCTTGCTTGTGGCACAGTGGATAGAGCACAGGCCCTGAAGTCGTGAGTTCGGATCTGGCCTCAGAGCAAACATTTGGCACTTATTAGTTGTGTGACCCTGGGCAAGTCACTTAACCTCAATTGCCTAAAAAAAAAAAGTTCTCATCTGTTCTCATTTACATTTTCATTATTTCCTCTCTACAAATAGCCATTCATTTTTCTGCAACTCTTCACACCTTTTATAACTTTAACTTTTTTCACTCTTCCCCCTCCTACACAAAAGAAACAGAGGTAGGATTATATGTTATGAGAGCTTGAAGACATACATCTGACTTACCTTGTGCCATTAGCGTGTCTGCATAGAAGAAAATTATTTGACAGGAATGTTATTTTACCATTCTGATTGCAGAGGCTTGAGAGATTTAAATAAAAAACAGATATAAAACTAAAAAAAATTTAATAGCGCAAGGAAACAACATTGGGTTTTTTTTTGGGTTATTGTTGTTATTTTAGGCAATAGGGTTAAGTGACTTGCCCAGGGTCACACAGCTAGTACGTGTTATGTGTCTGAGGCCGAATTTGAACTCAGGTCCTCCTGAATCCAGGGCCGGAGCTCTATCCACTGCTACAGCTGGCTGCCCCAGGAAACAGCATTGTAAAGAGCATTACTTTTTGGGTTTTTTTAATTTATGAATTCTATAGCCATAAGTTAGACTTTGAAAATTGGTTGTAGAAGGAGCTGTTGGAAGAGCTAAACAAAAAAATAACTCTTATGATAGCCCTTTATTGAGCAGCTTAATTTTTGTGCATTAAAATAACTTTTGAATTAGCAACTTTTTCAATATCCAAATGAATCAGAAATGATTATACAGGAAAACATTTTTATGTCAAATTAAAATTGAGAGCGTGCCATTTATTGCATTTTTTATTACAAGTTAGATTTAGAACCAATGGACTTTTAAACAGTTTTGAATCACAAATTTAGTCAGAATAGAACATGTTGAGAGAAAAGTCACAATAGAAGCTAGCTTATATTGTGAATCTCTAAAAATGATTTTTTAAAAAAATAAACAGGTATGATATTCATTATGGGACTATATATATATATAACTCCACATCTTAAAGTTATACTGACTGATTTTTTTGTGTGTGTTATCTTTTATGAATTTTAGGTTTGTCCTGACTCTACTGAAAAAGAAAAATATGGCTGCAAGAGAGAAATTGGAGGCAGTGTTAAATGTGGCCCTGAGGGTCCCAAGCATCATGCTTTTGGATGTCTTGTACAGATGGGATGTCAGTTCTTTTTTCCAGCAGATCCAAAGAAGTAGCCTCAATAATAACCCTCTCTTCCAGTATAAGTATTTGGCTCTTAATATGCATTACGTGGGTAAGTGTTTTCTTCTTTATTTTTTTTAGCCTTTAAATGGATTCTTTAGTGTCTTTTTGAATGTGCATAAATTGTTGACATGATTTGGTCACGTTGATGTGGCTGGTGTAGTCATAGAAGAATGCTTTTAGTAATGTAATCTGCCTGTTTTGTTTAATACAGATGAATTGTGTATTTTTATTTTAGGGGGAATTAAACTGGAAATGGGAGAATAAATTACATATGTTTAGCAGGGTTTAGGTAAATTGAAGACAGTATTTTCCATTAATATACCTTATTTCCTCTTGGTAATTGATCTGATTGTCATTAAAAATGAAGGATTTTCTTTTTTTTTTTTTGCCTAAAATATATTTTCCCATTTGTATACTTCAGAGGCCCCTAAAATACAGAACAAAAATACCCACATTAATTCGAAAGAAAACATTCCCTTCAAATAAATGTGATGGTGGTATTATGTGATAATACCATGATAAAAATGAGGAGGGGAAAAACCCCAACTCAACCCAGTTCTGGACCCTCAATTGTTATGAAGTGATAATGGTAGTAAAAGTAATTAGAAGAAGTTAAAGAAATCTTAAGATGAGAAATAGTATTGTACATTGTACTCAGAGAATATTGGAATTGGGGTCAAATAATAACTTGGAATGGTGAATGATCTTTAACTTATACATAGCTCATAAGTAATGATAGTATGAATGCATTGTCCTTTACATATAAAGATGGTTATTCATACCTACTTTCAGTGGAACATGAATTTGAATGTTTTTCAGCATTAGTAATGAGTTTCTGTAGAGCAGGGATGACAAACTCAAATAGAAATGGATCCTTGCAGGCAGCATATTGACTTAGAAAACCACAACTTAACATTACCTATGTTGTATTGTATTTTTATTTATTTTGCTAATCATTTCCCACTTACATTTTAATTAGGCCCTCCCCTTCCTTAATCAGGAGTGTTGAAGCCCTAGGCTTCAAGTTTGATACCTGCTATAGAACATCTAATCCCCTTTCTTAATAAAATTGTGCTTTTTTAAGGGAGAGAAAAATTATATAACTAGATCTATATAATATGGAGTTCTGTGGCTTGGGTTGTATTTTTTAAGTGGAGAGAACAGAATTGTACAGGGATTGGACTCAACTAATTGCCTCTGGTGAGAATAATACTCTGCTCATTAAACTATTTCAGATTTCCTTTTATTTGCCTCTGCCAGGCTGGCCTTCATACTTAGCTCAGTGATGATATGTAGTCTTTCATATAATAATATGATATTACTGACCCACTAAGAAATTATTTCATTGTTATGGCAAGGGTTTTATTGCATCATCTTTGAGTTTATCTGTAATTTATTAAGCATGCATTTTGAATTTTTTCCTTAGATTGTAAGTTCCATTGAGGGCAGACATGAATTAACACACCAAGAAAATACTGCCAATTATAGGTACTTTAGCGATAAAGGAGTTAGGGAACTATGTTATGAGTATCTCTTCTGACTTTTGTCACCTGTCCCACTGCTAATGTTACACTCACTTATAATCAGCTTGTTTATTGTGTATTATTTTAGAACTATGGAATGTTTGACACCTACAGTATTTCAACCTTTAAAATGGCTTGAACATGAACAAAATGGTAAAGGGGGAATGGGTCGAATTCTTCCTTTACAGTTTTATCTTCAACTAACGATGGAGTTTCCATAGTTCTTGAACTGTGAGCTAAACATTCTGGTTACTATACTTGGTACTATAAACTGTGTGTTTCACTTAAGTCACTAATGGCAGGCATTATGGTATTGCAGAAAAGGTACTAGAATGGCAGTGAGCAGATGTGACTTTTATTCCAGTTCTACTGTGAACTGTCCAGGTAACTTTGGACAAAATCATTTTACTTCTCTTAATCTCTTCCCTCATTCACAAAATGAGGGCATTCGGCTGGGTGATTTCTGATGTCCTGTGTTCTAAACTTCTAATTCTGACCCATCTTCTAGCAGACTTTTTGTTAAAAAACAAAAACCAAAACCAAAATCCTAGCCCATTGTGTGTAAACAGTTGTATACTTCAGATTTTGGTTTGATTAGTGTTCACTTTACATTATAGTTTTTCAGATGAGTTTACCAAGTTTTAGTTCAGAACCAGTTAATGATTGTCCCGTCCTGTCTTTTGCTTTGCATGTGGAACTTTTAATTAATTTTAGAAATTTATGGTTTGTAGTGCAGCAGAAATTCACATCCTGGTTTGTTAGTACTGGGAACTGAACCAAGGCTTCTTTAGTACAGTCAGTTCTATTGTTATGTAGTCTTCTGTAGTGATTGCACAAAATAGATACTATCAGCTTGAACAGGTGTTTTTTTTTTTAGTAGAGTTTTTTTTAAACTACTATATCTAAATACTACATAGATTTTTTTCCCCCCTTTTTAGTTATAGTGACCCAGTATATGGAATTTTAGGGCATTTAGGGCAACTAGATGGTTCAGTGAATGGAACACTGAGCCTGAAATCAGGAAGACTCGAGTTCAAATCCAGCCTCAGAAACTATATTACCTGTGAGACCCGAGGCAAGTCACTTAATCTCTGTTTGCTTTGGAGGCGGGTAGGTGGCTCAATGGACAGAGTGCTGGACCTAGAGTCAGAAAGACCTGAGTTCAGATGTGGCCTCAGGTACTTAGTAGCTATGTGACCTTGGGCAAGTTATTTAACTCTGTTTGCCTTAATCCACAGGAGAAGGAAATGGCAAACCACTCCAATTTCTTTGCTGAGAAAACCCCATGGACAATATTGGCATGCTATGGTCCATGCGGTCATCATGAGTCAGACACAACTGAATAACAACATATGGAATTTCACAGCTAAATAGTTTTTATATGAGGAAATAAATGAAGCAGTTTGTATTTGCCTTAGATGCTTCCTCAGTTCTGTATTAAAAGTTTTTTTTTTTTTTTGTTTTTGCTGTTTTTTTGGGCCTTTTGGGACATCCCTTCAGTTCTTACTAAGGAGCAAATCTTTGGTAAGGTAAAGGTTCTAGTTTCCAGGAGAGTGGTAAGGTTATTACTGGGCATAATAGGGTACTTTTTTTTAACCTCCTGAAGAGTTGGAAGGAAGTTGGAATGAAGGGAGAAAAGAGATTGAGACAAAGAAAAAATTACATTTAATGGGGAGAAATGTCAAACCAGGACTTAAATATTTGATAGTTTAGACAATACATGTTTTCTAGCCATTTGTTTTTTCCTTTGTGCATAGTTAGGTTGAATTCTTTTGAATGATTATGGATATCATTTAGGAGAGCTCTGCATACTTCTCAGACTGGAGGACCTCACCATTTATAGGGAATCCTCTCTGATTTAGACTCTGCTACAGCAGCATGTAATTTTAGTGATTTCGTTTCTGTCTTCTGCCTCACTTGATGTAAATAATCAGAGGACCATTGAAAAAAAATTTCCCTGTTGTTGCATCTATCAAGGAAGCTTTTATGATATGAGCAAATTCATGGCAAGCACCCATTTGGGCAAGAACTTCTAAGGCAGTATTTTGCTTTACTGAATCAAATGCTTTGAAAATATCAATAAACAATAATTACATTAGGGTCTTATATAATCAGTTACAGGATAAAAGGATCAGACTAAACATTTCATTTTTTAAGACCTAGATACCTTCCCCCTTACATGAAGCAACATTTCAACTAGTCTACCTCAAACTAATATAGTCTCAGGTTAAATTTATGGAAGTATATTGTCCAGATCAAGTGAGATAATAGTCACAGCACATTCATCATACCATATTCATGCTACTGATAGGCTGGTAAGACTTAGAGCTCAAGGAATAGCAGTACCCCTGAGACCAGGCCTGCTTCTGTCCTGGTCCCTGAAGCTGCCGTAGTCCTGGAAAGCAAGCCTTGTGGAGGTACAACCTGACAACTTCTTCTTAAAGGTACTGCAGTGTCTTCTTTTTCAGCAAGCTAAAGGTATCGGGAACTTCAAAAAGAAAGTACTTGCTACCAAAGTCCTTGGCACTATCAGATGGTTCAACGTCAGAAACCAACGTGGCATTATTAGTGGAAATGACATTTAAAAAGATGCATTACCATTGGCTTTGCTGCTGCACATTAAGGCCTATTGGGATTTTTTATTTTATCTGATTGGTAGCTGGAATTTTCCATGTGTGTTGTTTTTTCCTATTAGAATGTGAAAATCCTTGAGAGAAGGGACTGTCTGGCTTTTCTGTTTGTATCCCCAGCATTTTACATGTGGTAAATGCTTGATAAATACTTTTTCTCTCAGTTTTATGTTCAGTTCTAGGTGCCATATTTTAAGGCAGATGTTTGTAAATTTGAATGTGGTTGAAGGATGAGCAGCCTGGATAATAAGAGTTCAATAGCCATGTTCTATGAAGAATGATGGAAGTGATTAGCTTGCTGATAAAAATATTTAGGGGGAAACATGAAAGCTGTCTTAATATTTGAAGATCTGATACCTGGTTGATACTTTAGATTGATTGGTCCTTCATAGCTCAGGGGATGAGGATTGGGGCCATAGAATTGAAGTTACAGGGAAGTACGCTAAAATTCGTGTTAAATAAGAACTTTTTATGAAGTAGAATTATCCAAAAATGGAATGTGCTTTTTTTGTGATGGAGCCAGTTTTTGATCATTAGAAATTTTAAGGGATCTGATAGGGATGTTACAGAAAAGATTCCTCCATTGGGTGAGAGCTTCAAATTAATGACATTCAAGGTCCCATCTAATTCCAAGATTCTAAAATTATGGTGCTAGAAGTACAATCTGGGGGGCTACTTGGGGCTCTGTTGCCTAACTTAGCAGCTTTGACTCTTATTTCTTCATGTAGCAGCCTGCTGATCAGGAGACCAAAGCAAGCAGTTAGGTTGGATTGCTTCAAATTGTTAAAAGCAAGAAAGAAGTAGAAACTAATTCCAGTTTTTTTCATAGTGTTTATAGGAACATATATAATTTAAAAACTGGAAGAAAAATGGGATTTGACATGGAGAATTTTTCC